ACCCCCCCCCCCCCCCCCCCCCGTCACATTATATTGTTCATAATATTTATAAGATATCCCTTCTGCTTTGCCAGATTAAACGTGGATCGTACATATTTAAAGACTTATAAGATAAGAGTGCCCATTATTTCAATTTCTTCACCTTAGTTCCACTCTCAGCTGCAAAACGACACTTCAAGTCTTAAGAAATAAGTAATACCCTCGATACATCTCTGTTGATTTTGTGAAATGGCGCATGTGACGTCGTTTAGAAAAGTGACCAATCAAATCGCGTTATTAACTTCAACATTAGTATCGGTGGTTTGTTGACTTCCACTTGGAACAGGAGAATGGCGGGGGTTTGTTGATAGTTTCATTTCTTTCTAATGCTTAAAGAAACCCACTCACTACATTGTGATAAGAATCTACTGAAATGAAGCCGATAGTTCTGCGTTACAATCTTTGTTTTAGTGTTCTAGATTGTTATTTCTTGAAAAAACAACTCGGGACGAAAGTAAGCAGCAGTTTTATTACTAACTTGAGTTGATCACTGAAGGATTAAAAAAAAGAAAGAAACTCATTGATTAGTTGTACTACAGTGTATGTTTTAGTAGTCCTCAACATTTACTGACCTTCTGAAGTTCAGGATCTATCTAACTATCTATGAAATGGTCCTGTGCTTAATTTGGGTCCTGAACATATGTTCACTACGTGAAGGCAATAGCCTAGGTGGTATTTCATTAGGTAGATCACAATCCGCTAGGGGCGCTACAGTCGTAACTGTCCACGGGCAGTGAAGTGTTAAACTGAAGTCGGCCTGCTGACAGTTCGCCTATGGAACCCCTTTTTTAAATCTCTCTTTTAGCGCCGCGTAAAAAAACTAATACAAGCCATTAACTAAATAAGTTGTAAATCAAAGAGTAAAATCCGGTCACGTGATTTTCCCATGTTGCAGTCTTTGACAAGTTTCGGTTCTGCTTGTTTTAAGCTTTGCCTCTACAAAATGATAAAAAATTTCAGTTAAGTGCTGGTATCATCTTTTTGAAATTTATATCCAGCAAAGTTTATGAAATTTGCTATATTATGTAGAAAAATCATGAAATTTGAAGGTTGCGAAGTATAGTTAATTTAATCCGCAATATTACATGATGTGNCAACATAAAATATTGATACGAAATATTTGGCATTTAACTTTCAGGCCTTTAGTCAGAAATACGGATAGCCGGTTCGATCAAACAGACACCATCTGTACAGGTAACACCATTAGCTTTGTAAATGCTGTATGGAACTAATGCAGCTCCATTTTGTTTGTGAGCCATGTGGAGTGATTATCATTAGACACTACAGAGTATGGATACAGTGAAAGCCAAATTAAAACACTTACAGAATGAAGTGACTGATCTTCTGGAGTCCCTTCAGGATGGAGATAACTCTACTGCAGTTTGCAGCAGTATCACAAGTAATGACTGTCATGCATATATGGACAAAGTAACATTGTACTTCAACAAACTACGTGATGCTGTACACCAGCAAGTTCATAATGGCCCCACCTCCACACAAGCTCTCAGCTATAAAGCGCAGAGGAACAGGGCTACTGAAACTGATGGCGAAATAGAAGATGATTTTGATTATGACTCCTCGGGCAGTACTGTATGCATTGAATTATCGATTAAAGAGGAAGAGGAAGACAACTTTGAAGATGGTGTGGAAGATATCGAGTCTGGATTAAACATGTCTGAAGAGATGTTTGGAGATTCTTTTGTTGGAGATGGAGACGCTAAAAATAATAGTGTGGTGAGTGTCAGTAGTACTAGAACATTAGAGGTGACTCATATTTTTAATTGATTAATTTGTTTATGCAAAATTTGTTTGATATTTTAATTTATAGTGTCTGTTGGCTTAGGCTGGAGTATTTGTTTATGCAGATGTAGAGAAGTGAGGCAGAAAAATAAACTATATTTGATTGAAAAAAAAAACGTGTCACTGTTTCAGTTTTGTCATAGGATGCATTAGCCATATGTTGCAGATATATTTGTTATTGTTAAATGTCTTTAAAATGCTTTGGCAAGGGTTTAATTGTTAAAGAAGAAATGAAAAGCAAAAAGATATTAAAAAGAAAATGATTTGCATGTAAATTTGTTTTACAGAATGGTGAGCTGGATGCAGGAGATGGTTTGGGTGGTGGAGATGATGATGAGGAGGACTTTGGAGATGATTTTGATGATGACATGTTACAGGTAGGATGATGAAGGTTTTTCATTGTCTCTTTTATAATGATAGTAAAAATGCAGTTGTTTCTAAAAAAGATGAAACATTTTTTCACCTATGATCGAGGTAACATGGAAGAGTAATTCATGGTTTCATGGTCCTTTGTTAGAGTGTCATAACACCAAGACTCATACGTATAAAAGTGCTTAGTCTCTGAAGAAAATAATTACTGTTTAACTCTGCCTTTTTACATACTTAGTCCAGTAGAAAGGATCCCCTGGTAGAGTGCTCACCTCTGGTACAAGGGATCAGAGTTTGTGCTATGTTTTAACCCCCTCTCCCTTACCCCCCCCCCCCACCCCTATGTTAAAACTCATACTTTTCAATTGATAACTGTAAAATGAGCTAATGTTTCATTTATTGAAAAAGTAGTGCATTATTCAAGTTTTTGTTTTGCTGTCAGTCGTCTTTTATGGCAATTCTGTTGTACAACATTAAAATAGTTTTTGTGTTCATTATTTTTTCATGTAACATTTTTGAAAATTACATCATATGTTATTGAAAAAAATGGGAAATTGATTAAACATTGAAATGTTTTTTTATTTTTCAGCAAATTGAAGCTGCTGAGAAAAGTTACAATGATGAAAAGGAGTTCAACTTGCAGGAGGAGGGGGAGGAGGACTGGGGTAAGATAGAATATTTTCTTCTTTTTTTTATCTTTTTTCTTTCTTTCTTTTTTTTTTCATTGTTTATTAATCCACACATCATTCATGTATTCATTCGATTGCTTGTTCTGTTTTGTTTTGTTTTGTTTATATTTATTCAATATACAAGACACCTCCTGTATGGAATTGATTGATTTTAATTAGTGTGTAAAACATTTTTATCCATGAAATATTTTATCAGTTTCATGAAAATAAACTCACATTTGGTTCTTCATTACTACATGTGTATTGCAAATTTATGAAAATTGAATATAATATCACTGTCAGAGTAATGATTTGGAACACCCAAAGATCATATCTTGCTTGATGATCTAGATGTGTACAACTAAACAGTTGATAATTATACAATTTCAGGCCCATAGCCAGCAATTTCAAAAGGGGGGGTTCTTTTTCCGAAAAAAGTGGAGTTTTTACAATGAAATTTCCATGTACGTAGATCAAATTTTACCCAGAATGGACCTTTTCCTGACAAAAAGGGCGGTTCTTTCAAACCCTCTGACCCTCCTCCTCCCCTGACTACGGGCCTGATTATAGTCACTGTGGTGTTACTTGTTCAATGTTTTCTTTCATCCCCAGACCCTGAGAACCAGCCCACTGACCCCAGATACAGAGAAGTGCTCAAGCAATACTTTGGCTACTCAAAATTCAGACCGTGAGTCCTGAGAAATAGTCTGTTTATTTTGTAGAATATTTATTTGATGCAAAGATGCACACTTATAAGTGACACAAGCCAAATTTGTCAATTAGCACTAAATGCCACCATATGGCTTCAGTTAGTATTATAGCAAGTGTCAGAATTGGAGGATTGAAGTTTTTTGTTGGAGAAAAAGCAATAAAATTACTATTTCAAATGAACATTCATGCCAAATGCCAATTGAAATTATAAAGGCGGCTTGCTGATCATTAGTGTAACAGGAACAAAAGGACCTACATTAATCCTTGGCCATTTACCAGAATGGAGACATTATATCAGTCTGGAGGACAAGTGAAGAAGTTATGTACAGCAGAAAAGCAGACTTAGTTGTATTCTTTGTAATTAAAATGTGACAACATAACCATTCCATGGATATAAAAGTTGCAATTACTATTTGATGAAGAATTATCATGACGAAAGGGATACATTTTGCCAACATGTGAATGCATGTCAGCTAGGAGTATACCTGTATAACATCGCTCCTTAATTCCACATCTTCTTTAAGCTCAGTTCTTTCTGATTTGGCATTTTGAGTACAATCCAGTGATTCATGACAAGAATCTGAATTTTAAAATTGTGTGTTTTGAGAAATAAAATGCCACAATTTATTTTTAAATGACCCACGTGTAAGTTGATGGTTACAGTTCTTTTTCAAAATTTTTCATGATCTACTAAGTAATATGCAAAGAGTTCATATCATTAATTAATGTGGATACTTTTAAACTATTTTTCAGAATGCAGTGGAAAATCATCAATTCTGTCTTGAATGATAAGAGGGATAATTGTGTCATTATGGCAACAGGTTCGTCTTGGTTTTCTTACACGTCTTCACCCTGGCAGCAGTGCTGCCACCTGTATAATGGTCAAATCAAACCCTTATATCTAGTACCTGATTAATTAGAAATGACAAATATTAAAACTTGTTATCCCTAATGTAAATATTTTACTCACCGTGATGAATATTTTCACATGTTCTGAATTCTTGCTCAGCAAAAAAGGATTACTATCACTTTTTAGATTGAACTTCGTGTGTCACCTCTTGACTCAAATTATTATAATTATTGACATCTATCTTGAACAAATATTGTCACAGTGGACCTTTTTTTTCTCTTTGGCATTATCTGAAACTTATACGAACATCACCCAGTAACTCAAATATTTGTATAAACCGAAAACATTTCCCAGTCCCAAAGTGTAGAAATTATGCATAGTCTACCACTGCTAGTAAATATGCACTTACATGTATATAGCGTGGATCAAAACTCATTTTTGTGTAATTACAGGGTATGGCAAAAGTCTAATCTACCAGTACCCCTCCCTGTACACTGGCCGAGTCACAGTGGTCATTTCACCCCTGATATCTCTAATGGAAGACCAGGTGCTTGGCCTGAGGTATTTAACACTTGTACAATGCATTCCTTAAATGTGTCTTCTTTCTATGTAAATTATTATAAAAGTTACATTTAGAATCTAGTACTGGACTTAAAATTTAATATAATTGACTACATTAGGATCTCCCAGCTTTCAGAGAGAACACATTCAGAACAAGTTGATCCTTAGACCGCATTCTCAACGAGTTGAGCCAGGCTTTGCAATCCTGAGAACTAAAAATGGCGGACGTAGGCCCCTACATGAAAGAAAAACTGCCTAATCTTTTAATAGTCTCTCTGCCTCTCACACGCCTCCCCACACGTCGTCCCTGCGGGGTACAGTAATTAAATCTCGGCTCCGTTTGCCATGCGGAAGCTACCTGAGAAATATTAAGTGCGCATGCTCATTGGTCAGTTATTGGTCATCAGCTAGTTCCCCTTCTTCAGTTGAAAGTGGGGAACAAGGCAAACATCAGCATAAGAACGATTGCGCCCTTTGACAAGACTGCATACGCAAAAATTCTGCCCACCTCCAACTCCGTCTACTGGGGCTGGGTATCTCTATGAATATCTCCATGAATATCTCTGGTGATATTATCTCCATAGATAGTCGATTCATTGCTGCTCTAAGGGCCAATTCATTCCTTTTTCATCTCTGTTTTGAAAGATAATAGAATGGAAGAGCCTTTTTCCTTTGATCGCCTTCAGCTGCCATGCTTTCTTCACCACGAGTTTAACTGATGAGCATGTGCACTTCATATTTCTCAGGTAGCTTCCGCATGGCGAACGGAGCCGAGATTTAATTACTGTACCCCACAGGGACAACGTGTGGGGAGGTGTGTGAGAGGCGGAGAGACTATTAAAAGATTTGGCGGGTTTTTTTTCATGTACGTCCGCCATTTTTAGGTCACCGGCTTTGTAAAGCCTGGCTTANTAAAAGATTAGGCGGTTTTTCTTTCATGTACGTCCGCCATTTTTAGTTCTCAGGATTTGTAAAGCCTGGCTCAATTCGTTGAGAATGCGGTCTTAGACTAACAGATCTGCAGATCAAATATGCCTGACTCACATGAAAGCTTGCTGGAGAAGATCCCCTGATAGACACTGAATCATTTCCTGCAGGGATTACGCGATAAGCCTTCAAGTGGGTTGGCCATATTTGATCCGCGGATCTGTTAATCTGCAGATTAACTTTGGTTGTGAACACAGCTTTAGGCTTGTCTACTTAGAATACAGGTGAAACTGTTCTCAATCTTGTTATATAATCTGAAATAGTTTCAGATGTATTTCTAAAATACTGCAACTGAGTGAATTTTCTGAGAGATTTAAGTTTCACAATCATTGTACAAAAAATATTAGAAATACTTGAACTCGTGTTCAAATTTCTAAGATATTTTAAGGGAATGTGGGCCAAGTTTTGAGGGAATATTTTTCACTCAGTTGTCATTCAAGGTAAAACACATTTTTAAGTGCTGTAACCCTCTCTCTTCCAGTGTAGTGAATATCAAGGCCTGCTTCCTAGGCTCAGCCCAAGAGAACACTAGAAAGGTTTTACAAGGGTTATTGAAGTAAGTGTTGTATGGTGCTGAAAGGGTCCATATTGAGAGCCACATTTTTTTTGTCCCATTTTTTGTCTTAAATGTAAGATTAACTTCTGATACCAGTGTCTTGATAAACAACTTGCTATTTTTTAGGGTTGTACCATTCAGTTTTATTTACTTTAGTTGCAGTATATATAAATTTACTCTTAAAATTCATAAATACAGTCTGTGCTGAAAACTTCATAAATTTATGTATTACAAATTACAGTGGTGAATATAGAATATTGTACATAACTCCGGAGTTTGCCTCAACAGCACAGGATGCCCTTACAGACCTGCATAACAAAGTTGGTAAGTTTCAGAATGTAGATAAATTAGAAAAAAACTTAGTGAAAATCACGTGAGATTTCATGAGATACTGAGGAGAGTGCGGTCAAAAATAATGGCAGACTATAAGCCAACAAGTGCAGAACATGAATAAATAAATGACTTTAAAATTAATCCAACGGTAGTTTTCTGGTTGTTTACACTTATGATCTGTAGAATTACAGTCTGTTGCACAACAGTGCAAGTTCACCATCTTTTGGCTGCACTTTTATATTGCAGTCTAGGAAGAAATTCCGAGCATTTACTGATAAAGTTCCACCCTTATTGCTATGAAAGGAAACAAACAAACAAAACCCTGTGGTATTTCTTCAAGTGACATTATTTGAAACTAGGTGGTGGCATTTGATCCAGTTTATTGACAGTTATTTGACATGGCTTCTCTCTAAATATAGATCTTTAAATGAAATATCTGTTGCCCTTTTTGTCCAGCTTAACTTGCTTTTTCTTTTCTCCTGGATTTTGTACACCATCTGCCACAGCAGTAATTATAAACACATTTACAGAGACACCACACACAGAGGAAAAATGCCACCAGTACCATCAGTATAAAAACAATAACGTCCAGTAGCAGATGTTGGTACCATGTATACATGAGGGCACCACTCTTTAAGTGTGCAGCACCATCATGTTTATGAACATAGTTGACAGTATGTAAGATCTTTTCTTCACTTGACACAAGTTGGTCCCGAAAGCGAGAAGAAACTCTTTGAGCATTTTCACGATATTTTGGATTGTGTAATACCTCTGTGATGGCCTTGTAGAGGTCATCAGAGGTCAAGGTCACGTAGTCCAGACTGACGCCCATGTTAAGGTGTTCCGAAATAAGTTGGGAAAAATATGGCTGGTCACGAGCCAGAGGGATAGCAACTATTGGAACACCATAGTAGGCAGCCCCATGAACCCCTCCAATCCCACAATGACTCACAAAGAGCTTTGTTTGTGGATGTCCTAGTAGATCATTCTGTGGCAGCCATGGTAGCAGTTTTGTGTTGTTGCCTAGGTAACGAGGCACATTGCCTTGGTAACGCCAGATTACCTTCTGAGGTAGGCGTGCAAAGGCTTCCGCAAACATCTCTCCATGAAGAGCAGGAAAATAATTAACCTGCGAACCAAAAGACATAACAATGACGCCATGTTTATCTGAGGACCTCATGAAATCTTCTAAATCTTCAGCCAATGGTTTTACAGTCTCTATGAAAAAGGAGCCTATGAATACGAGGTTTGGTGTGGAAGGGTTAGGGTAATCAATCGCTGGATCAGACTTTATCAGTTTCATGGAGACAAGTTCAAAAGTGTCTTGAAATGGCAGCGATCCAGAAACGTTGTTCTTGGTTCGGATGTGTTCCCATTGTGAAGATTGCCAAGCTGCAAGTGCGAAGTCAAGTAACTGGAACACTGTGTTGCCAACACGTTGGAAAAATGTCATGTTGTTTGTATATGGTAGTCGAGTACTAGGCACATATGCAGGAGAACATGGTACTTCTTTGTTGGGTGAAATACATGTCACTGATGACAGACCGATGGCTGGCTTAGAGAGATGATCAATTAGAAAGAACCGACATAGATCAAGCATGTCCAGTAAGATCAGATCAAAGTTTTCTTCCTCCAAGCGGTGAAGAGCTGTCTTATCTGCAAGCATTAAGTTGCAATACACATAGCATTGATTTACTAGCTTCATGTTTTCTGTATAGGAGGATGACTTAATATACCTATCCACATGATTAAAATTTTGACAGTAGGGGACACCAAGATTCAAAATTCCATTTGATTTGAAATGTATGAATTTAATCTTTAATTTGGTGAAGTCCCTGTTGGTCATTGACTTGTTATAAGTATCTTGAACATAGAGAGTTATTTCATGGCCATTGGTTGCAAGGAATGTAACAAGTTTCTCCATGTTCATGGTACGAGAAGAACGGCATACGCCGTAGGGAAGTGCCAAAATCTTCAGGGACTGGTTGCTATGGAATAGTATTGCCATGACAATGGTAAGCAGATAGATAGTTGGTATTATCTTTGATGGTCTTGTCATGCTGATCGTTTTCTGAAAATAGATGCATTTATATTTTTGTAGAAGATTAGTATTTTATTAAATTACTATCCTTGGGATGAGTCTGCGAGTGACCACTCTTGTAATACACATCATGATTTTATATTTTCATTGAAATCAAATGAGTGAATGGAAGACTGGAATGTGTTTGTTGCTAAACTTTTCTGCTGTATGTGTAGGGCCATGCTGTAGGATGGTTGCTAATGTTTTGATAACGTTCACCTATGTTGGATATCTGACAGAATAATATTTTGTTGCTATCATTATTGCCATGTATTTATTTGTTTGTTTGTTTGTTTGTTTGTTTGTTTAAAGGACATAGCTCTGAGAACCACAGCTTAGGCCATTTATTTATTATAAAATAAACAAAAACAAATTTTTCATTGGCTTTTGTGTAATGATGTTTAAAAAAGTGAACAGTTCCTCAGGGAATTAAGGAATTAACATATTCCAGCACTTTGCTCCATAAGTACAAAATATGTTTAGTCTTTATGAAAATGATTTTAAAACTTTTAAACTAATACTATTACTAGTACTTATCTTATGAAAATTTTCTGTTGAATGAATCACAATGGTACAACTGTGCCTTGAAAACATATATCATGATTTTATCATCAAATTATATTCCTACCTTAATTATACATTTATCTTCCTCTCTGTCTTCTCTGCAATAAAAAAGTCACCAATCTGTCAGTGAAATATAAGTCACTTCTGTGACATGCAAACCATGTGGAAAATACTTAATATTTTCATGTCTCACTTTTTTTATAAAATTTTACTTTTTTATGATTTCTTAACATGTCCAAAAATTCACCAGCTGATAAGAAACCCAAACACATATTAGAAACATTTGAATCACTATTTAAAGGTATTATTGAAATTCTGTGTTGTTTGAATTTGTTGATTAATCACAAAAAGCTAAGTTCTGCCAGAAAACGCAGTAGATACTCCAGCGCAGTAGACTACTGCAATCATACTGCAAACATGCTTCAAATCTGCTTTGATTTGGGAGCTACATGTAATTAGCATATTTGAAACATGCTTCTATCATGCTGCTAATCTACTGCATTAATGTTCCTCTCTGTACAAACCTATGTACTTTTTGGAGTAGAATTGCAGTAGGCTATGCTGCATTTCTACTGCAAATATGCTCCACACCACTACTACGTTAATGCTTTTTTGCTACTTCGATACTACTGCATTTTCGTATGGCAAGCCATCACAGACTGGAGTCAAACATCTTGATGTGCTGTGTAGCCAAGGTTTACATGTTTTGTTTAACAAAGACAGTTAATTGAATGATACATCTTTTTGAGGTTACTTCAAGGTCAAACAACACAGTGACTGTCATTTTATGTATGTTGCATCAGCATAAAATCTTTGCCTAATAGGGGTGCAGTCAAAATAATGATGCAAAATGGAAGCTAGTAAAAACATCCAATCTGCGTCTCTGAAGTACATAATACATTGTAACATATTGCAGAATGTTTATATTCATGTTCTAGCCAAAATTTGAATTATTTTTATTTTATGTCTTCATGCCAGTCTGTGATATTGGTCAGTAGGGGAAAGAACTATTTGGGCATTTTCACGCTAATTTGGATTGTGTACTACCTCTTTGAGGGCCTTTTAGAGATCAGAGGTCAGAGTTTCCTACATGTAGTCCAAACTGACCCCTATTTTAAGGTGTTCTGATATAAGCAAGGAAGTTAGCACATACAAAGTTTTCTGGTTGTTTTCACTCAGATCTGTAGAATTGCAGTCTGTTGCAAAACAGGACAAATTCAGCATGTTTTGGGTGTCACTTTGATATTGCAATCTAAGAAGAAATTCCAAGCATTTACTGGAAGAGTTCCACCCGGATTGCTATGAAAGGAAAAAATAAGCAAACAAAACCATGTGGTATTTCTTCAAGTGATACTTTTTGAAACTAGGCAGTGGCATTTGATCAAGTTTATTGGCAGTTATTTGACATGGCTTCTCTCTAAATATAGATCTTTCAATGAAATATCTGTTGCCCTTTTTGTCCAGCTTATTTTGCTTTTTCTTTTCTCCTGGATTTTGTACACCATCTGCCACAGCAGTAATTATAAACACATTTACAGAGACACCACACACAGAGGAAAAATGCCACCAGTACCATCAGTATAAAAACAATAACGTCCAGTAGCAGATGTTGGTACCATGTACACATTAGGGCGCCACTCTTTAAGTGTGCAGCACCATCATGTTTATGAACATAGCTGACAGTATGTAAGATCTTTTCTTCACTCGACACAAGTTGGTCCCGAAAGCGAGAAGAAACTCTTTGGGCATTTTCACGATATTTTGGATTGTGTAATACCTCTGTGATGGCCTTGTAGAGGTCATGAGAGGTCAAGGTCGTGTAGTCTAAACTGACACCCATTTTAAGGTGTTCTGAAATAAGTTGGGAAATGTATGGCTGGTCACGAGCCAGAGGGATAGCAACTATTGGAACACCATAGTAGGCAGCCCCATGGACCCCTCCAATCCCACAATGACTCACAAAGAGCTTTGTTTTTGAGTGTCCTAATAGATGATTCTGCGGTAGCCATGGTAGCAGTTTGGTGTTGTTGCCTAGGTTATGAGGCACACTGCCTTGGTAACGCCAGATTACCTTTTGAGGTAGGCGTGCAAAGGCTTCTGCAAACATCTCTCCATGACGAGCAGGAAAATACTTAACCTGCGAACCAAAAGACATAACAATGACGCCATGTTTATCTGTGGACCTCATGAAATCTTCTAAATCTTCTGCCAATGGTTTTACAGTCTCTATGAAAAAGGAGCCTATGAATACTAGGTTTGGTGTGGAAGGGTTAGGGTAATCAAGGGCTGGATCAGACTTTATCAGTTTCATGGTGACAAGTCCAAAAGTGTCTTGGAATGGCAGTGATCCAGAAATGTTGTTCTTGGTTCGGATGTTTTCCCACTGTGGAAAGCGCCAAACTGTACGTGCCAAGTGAAGTAACTGGATCACTGTGTTGCCAACACGTTGGAAAAACGTCATGTTGTTCGTGTATGGTAGCCGAGTACTAGGTACATATGCAGGAGGACAGGGCACTTCTGTGTTGGGTAACATGCATGTCACTGATGACAGACCAATGGCTGGTTTAGAGAGATGATTTATTAGAAAGAACCGACATAGATCAAGCACATCCAGTAAGATCAGATCAAAGTTTTCTTCTTCCAATCGTCGAAGAGCTGTTTTATCTGCGAGCATTACGTTGCAATACTCATAGTTTTGATTTGCTATCAGAACTTTTTCTGTATAGGAGGATGCATTTACATACCCATCCACATGATAAAAATTTTGACAGTAGGGAATACCAGGATTCAAAATTCCATTTGATTTGAAATGTATGAATTTGATATTCAATTTGGTGAAATCTGTGTTGGTCATTGACTTGTTATAGGTATCTTGAACATAGAGAGTTATTTCATGGCCATTGGTTGCAAGGAATGTAACAAGTTTCTCCATGTTTATGGCATTAGAAGAAAGGCATACACTGTAGGGAAGAGCCAAAATCTTTAAGGACTGGTTGCTATGGAATAGTGTTGCCATGACAATGGTAAGCAGATAGATAGTTGGTATTATCCTTGATGGTCTTGTCATGCTGATCGTTATCTGAAAATAGATGCATTTATATTTTTGTAGAAGATAAGTATTGTATTAAATTACTATCCTTGGGATGAGTCTGCGAGTGACCACTCTTGAAATACACATCATGATTTTATTTTTTCATTTAAATCAAATGGAAGACTGGAATGTCTTTCTTGCTAAACTTTTCTGCTGTATGTGTAGGGCCATGCTGTAGGATGGCTGCTAATGTTCTGATAACTTTTACAAATGTAGGACATCTGACAGAATAATATTTTGTTGCTATCATTATTGCCCTTTATTTATTTGTTTGTTTGTTTGTTTAAAGGACATAGCTCTGAGAACCACAGCTTAGGCCATTTATTTATAATAAAATAAACAAAAACAAATTTTTCATAGGCTTTTGTGTAATGATGTTTAAAAAAGTGAACAATTCGTCAGGGAATTAAGGAATTAACATACTCCAGCACTTTGCTCCATAAGTACAAAATATGTTTAGTCTTTATGAAAATGTTTAAAACTTTAACTAATACTATTACTACAGTGTAGTACTTATCTTATGAAAATTTTCTGATGAATGAATCACAATGGTACAACTGTGCCTTGAAAACATCAAATTGTATTCCTACCTTAATTATACGTTTATCTTCCTCTCTGTCTTCTCTGCAATAAAAAAGTCACCAATCTGTCAGTGCAATATAACTCACTTCTGTGACATATAAACTATGTGGAAAATACTTAATATTTTCATGTCTCACTTTTTTTTATAAAATTTTACTTTTTTATCATTTCTTAACATGTCCCAAAATTCACCAGCTGATAAGAAGCCAAAACACATATTAGAAACATTTGAGTCACTATTTAAAGGTATTATTGAAATTCCATGTTTGAATTTGTTGAGTTATCACAAAAAGCTTGCCATCACAGACTGGAGTCAAACATCTTCATGTGCTATGTAGCCAAGGTTTACATGTTTTGTTTAACAAAGACAGTTAATTGAATGATACATCTTTTTGAGGTTACTTCAAGGTCAAACCGCACAGTGACTGTCATTTTATGTATGTTGCATCAGCATAAAACCTTTGCCTTATAGGGGTGCAGTCAAAATAATGATGCAAAATGGAAGCTAGTAAAAACATCCAATCTGCGTCTCTGAAGTACATAATACTTTGTAACATATTGCAGAATGTTCATATTCATGTTCTAGCCAAAATTTGAGTTATTTTTATTTTATATCTTCATGCCAGTCTGTGATATTGGTCAGTCGGGGAAAGAACTCTTTGGGCATTTTTACACTGCTTTGGATTGTGTATTACCTCTTTGAGGGCCTTTTAGAGATCAGAGGTCAGAGTTTCCTAGTCCAAACTGACACCTATTTTAAGGTGTTCTGATATAAGCAAGGAAGGTAGCACATACATAGTTTTCTGGTTGTTTTCACTCAGATCTGTAGAATTGCAGTCTGTTGCACAACAGGACAAATTCAGCATGTTTTGGGTGTCACTTTGATATTGCAATCTAAGAAGAAATTCCAAGCATTTACTGGAAGAGTTCCACCCAGATTGCTATGAAAGGAAAAAACAAGCAAACAAAACCATGTGGTATTTCTTCAAGTGATACTATTTGAAACTAGGCAGTGGCATTTGATCCAGTTTATTGGCAGTTATTTGACATGGCTTCTCTCTAAATATAGATCTTTAAATGAAATATCTGTTGCCCTTTTTGTCCAGCTTATTTCACTTTTTCTTTTCTCCTGGATTTTGTACACCATCTTCCACAGCAGTAATTATAAACACATTTACAGAGACACCACACACAGAGGAAAAATGCCACCAGTACCATCAGTATAAAAACAATAACGTCCAGTAGCAAATGTTGGTACCATGTATACATTAGGGCACCACTCTTTAAGTGTGCAGCACCATCATGTTTATGAACATAGCTGACAGTATGTAAGATCTTTTCTTCACTTGACACAAGTTGGTCCCGAAAGCGAGAAGAAACTCTTTGAGCATTTTCACGATATTTTGGATTGTGTAATACCTCTGTGATGGCCTTGTAGAGGTCATCAGAGGTCAAGGTCACGTAGTCCAGACTGACGCCCATGTTAAGGTGTTCCGAAATAAGTTTGGAAAAATATGGCTGGTCACGAGCCAGAGGGATAGCAACTATTGGAACACCATAGTAGGCAGCCCCATGGACCCCTCCAATCCCACAATGACTCACAAAGAGCTTCGTTTTTGGATGTCCTAATAGATCATTCTGTGGCAACCATGGTAGCAGTTTGGTGTTGTTGCCTAGGTTATGAGGCACACTGCCTTGGTAACGCCAGATTACCTTTTGAGGTAGGCGTGCAAAGGCTTCTGCAAACATCTCTCCATGACGAGCAGGAAAATACTTAACCTGCGAACCAAAAGACATAACAATGACGCCATGTTTATCTGTGGACCTCATGAAATCTTCTAAATCTTCTGCCAATGGTTTTGCAGTCTCTATAAAAAAGGAGCCTATAAATACTAGGTTTGGTGTGGAAGGGTTAGGGTAATCAAGGGCTGGATCAGACTTGATTAGTTTCATGGTGACAAGTTCAAAAGTGTCTTGAAATGGCAGCGATCCAGAAATGTTGTTCTTGGTTCGGATGTTTTCCCATTGTGAAGATTGCCAAGCTGCAAATGCGAAGTCAAGTAATTGGAACACTGTGTTGCCAACACGTTGGAAAAATGTCATGTTGTTTGTATATGGCAGTCGAGTACTAGGCACATATGCAGGAGAACACGGCACTTCTTTGTTGGGTGAAATACATGTCACTGATGACAGACCGATGGCTGGCTTAGAGAGATGATCAGTTAGAAAGAAACGACACAGATCAAGCATGTCCAGTAAGATCAGATCAAAGTTTTCTTCCTCCAAGCGGTGAAGAGCTGTTTTATCTGCAAGCATTAAGTTGCAATACTGAAGGTGTTGATTTACTAGCTTCATATTTTCTGTATAGGAGGATGACTTAATATACCTATCCACATGATTAAAATTTTGACAGTAGGGGACACCAGAATTCAAAATTCCATTTGATTTGAAATGTATGAATTTAATCTTCAATTTGGTGAAATCCGTGTTGGTCATTGACTTGTTATAAGTATCTTGAACATAGAGAGTTATTTCATGGCCATTGGTTGCAAGGAATGTAACAAGTTTCTCCATGTTCATGGTACGAGAAGAACGGCATACGCTGTAGGGAAGTGCCAAAATCTTCAGGGACTGGTTGCTATGGAATAGTGTTGCCATGACAATGGTAAGCAGATAAATAGTTGGTATTATCCTTGATGGTCTTGTCATGCTGATCGTTTTCTGAAAATAGATGCATTTATATTTTTGTAGAAGATTAGTATTTTATTAAATTACTATCCTTGGGATGAGTCTGCGAGTGACCACTCTTGAAATACATGTACACATCATGATTTTATATTTTCATTGAAATCAAATGAGTGAATGGAAGACTGGAATGTCTTTCTTGCTGAACTTTTCTGCTGTATGTGTAGGGCCATGCTGTAGGATGGTTGCTAATGTTTTGATAACTTTCACCTATGTGGGATATCTGACAGAATAATATTTTGTTGCTATCATTATTGCCATGCATTTATTTATTTGTTTGTTTGTTTGTTTGTTTGTTTAAAGGACATAGCTCTGAGAACCACAGCTTAGGCCATTTATTTATAATAAAATAAACAAAAACAAATTTTTCATTGGCTTTTGTGTAATGATGTTTAAAAAAGTGAACAGTTACTCAGGGAATTAAGGAATTAACATATTCCAGCACTTTGCTCCATAAGTACAAAATATGTTTAGTCTTTATGAAAATGATTTTAAAACTTTTAAACTAATACTATTACTAGAANTTTTGCTTTTTCTTTTCTCATGGATTTTGTACACCATCTGCCACAGCAGTAATTATAAACACATTTACAGAGACACCACACACAGAGGAAAAATGCCACCAGTACCATCAGTATAAAAACAATAACGTCCAGTAGCAGATGTTGGTACCATGTACACATTAGGGCGCCACTCTTTAAGTGAGCAGCGCCATCAAGTTTATGTACATAACTGACAGTATGTAAGATCTTTTCTTCACTTGACACAAGTTGGTCCCGAAAGCGAGAAGAAACTCTTTGGGCATTTTCACGATATTTTGGATTGTGTAATACCTCTGTGATGGCCTTGTAGAGGTCATCAGAGGTCAAGGTCGTGTAGTCTAAACTGACACCCATTTTAAGGTGTTCTGAAATAAGTTGGGAAATGTATGGCTGGTCACGAGCCAGAGGGATAGCAACTATTGGAACACCATGGTAAGCCGCCCCATGAACCCCTCCTATCCCACAATGACTCACAAAGAGCTTTGTTTTTGAGTGTCCTAGTAGATCATTCTGCGGTAGCCATGGTAGCAGTTTGGTGTTGTTGCCTAGGTTATGAGGCACACTGCCTTGGTAACGCCAGATTACCTTTTGAGGTAGGCGTGCAAAGGCTTCTGCAAACATCTCTCCGTGACGAGCGGGAAAATACTTAACCTGCGAACCAAAAGACATAACAATGACGCCATGTTTATCTGTGGACCTCATGAAATCTTCTAAATCTTCCGCCAATGGTTTTACAGTCTCTATGAAAAAGGAGCCTATGAATACGAGGTTTGGTGTGGAAGGGTTAGGGTAATCAATCGCTGGATCAGACTTGATTAGTTTCATGGTGACAAGTCCAAAAGTGTCTTGGAATGGCAGCGATCCAGAAATGTTGTTCTTGGTTCGAATGTTTTCCCATTGTGAAGATTGCCAAGCTGCAAGTGCGAAGTCAAGTAACTGGAACACTGTGTTGCCAACTCGTTGGAAAAACGTCATGTTGTTTGTATATGTTAGTTGAGTACTAGGCACATATGCAGGAGAACATGGTACTTCTTTGTTGGGTGAAATACACATCACTGATGACAGGCCGATGGCTGGCTTAGAGAGATGATCAATTAGAAAGAACCGACATAGATCAAGCACGTCCAGTAAGATCAGATCAAAGTTTTCTTCCTCCAAGCGGTGAAGAGCTGTTTTATCTGCGAGCATTAGGTTGCAATACTCATAGCGTTGATTTGGTAGCTTCATATTTTCTGTATAGGAGGATGACTTAATATACCTATCCACATGATTAAAATTATGACAGTAGGGGACACCAGGATTCAAAATTCCATTTGATTTGAAATGTATGAATTTAATCTTCAGTTTGGTGAAATCCGTTTTGGTCATTGGCTTGTTATAAGCATCTTGTACATAGAGAGTTATTTCATGGCCATTGGTTGCAAGGAATGTAACAAGTTTCTCCATGTTCATGGTACGAGAAGAAAGGCATACGCTGTAGGGAAGTGCCAAAATCTTCAGGGACTGGTTGCTATGGAATAGTGTTGCCATGACAATGGTAAGCAGATAGATAGTTGACATAGTCCTTGGTTGCCTTGTCATGTCGATTGCTTTCTGAAATAGTTGCATTTATAATGAGGAGTCAAAATAATAATTGATTGCAATGAAAGACTGTAACAGCTGATTACTTTTGTTATGTAGACAATCAGATTGATGAGCATTTTTTAGGCCTATTTAGTAACAACTTTTCCAGCTTATTAATATTATTAAAGCAAGTTTGAGGGTGCCAAAAAATCTTTAACATTTTTAATAATTTGTCCATGAAGTGGAGAATTTCTTTATGTATGGCACATCCTAGATTAAGGTGTTTTTTACAACTTTTCACCTGTTTACAAAAAACCTATTTAAAATGTGCCTTCCTGTTTATTTCATAGTGAAAAATATCACTATCTCCGCCAAGGAGGTTATGTTTTCACCCCTGTTTGTCTGTCTGACTGTTTGTTTGTCATCAACATATCTCAAAAAATTATGGACCGATTTTGATGAAATTTTCAGAGTAGGTGGGAAATGGGTAAACTTAGGAGTCATTAGTTTTTGGTGGTGATCTGGATCAATAATCAGTCAATAATCAATAATGATAAAAAAAATTGCTGCCTTGGCAGAGGTCTGTGCTCTCGAAGTGCTTTTCTAGTTACATTAGCTGTGTTAGACATTTTATAATCACAAAAACACTTAATAAATCTTAATGCTAGAGTGTAAGGTGACACAGGATATGGTTGTATGCATTCTGCAAAATTATGAATGCTGATTGTGTATTTTATCTTTCATTGTTCGTGGAGGAAGGGGAAGGCTAAGGCGGCACATTTAACACTTTGTATGTAGATCTGATCTTCTTAAAATATAGAATAAATGAATGTTGTTTGAGGAAAGTTGGATGTATTTACCTATTTACACATACACTTAGCAAAGCTTTTACAATATATAATTTTTAATGAGACGTCACCAAACAAAATAAATTTAAACAGACGGTCAAAACAGTCTTTGCCAAATGCCCATTTTGCTCATTCAAAGTTCATGTGCTGGCAATGAATTTATAGTTATAAAGGGAAGTTATTGTGTTTGGTGAGACAGGATATGATTGTGTTAGTTGTGATATTCTGTTCTTCTAGGCATAGACCTGGTGGCCATTGATGAGGCTCACTGTGTCTCCCAGTGGGGGCATGACTTCAGGTCTTCCTACAGATCCCTGGGAAGCATAAGGCTACTTCTGAAGGATGTGAGTATGCAATTTTTTATTTATAATCCATCTGATCTGGACAATTTCAGTATTTAGCCATTGATATAAAAAGTACTTTATCTTTTAGCTGAGTTAGTTTTGAGAACATTGTTCTAAGTTCAACGTAATATTTGATTAAAAACATCTTTTTAAATATTATTACAGGCCCTGTCCAGGTCCCCGTGGTTGCCTAAAAGCCATCCCTTTGCCTTTAATTAAAATTAGTTACATTGGATCCCTGTGGTTGCCTTGACGACCTTCATTTAGTTGCACTGAATTATTCCAGGTCCCTGTTGTTGCTTTAACAGCCACTGCCACACCGGAAGTGAGAAAAGACATCTGTCGCTCTCTTAAGTTGAAAAATCCAATAGTGACGTGTACAGGATTTGACAGGTAAGACAGAATTCTCCAGATATCTGCAGTGACAGCTGAAAATGTGTCTTTGTGACAGACACATGGAAAGAAAATGCAAAGTAGGTGAATTTTTGGGAGATAGGGGGGTACTCCACTACTGAGAGAGAGAGAGAGAGAGAGAGAGAGAGAGAGGCATAGACAATAAAAATAATAATAGATTAACTCTTACAGCAAATTACTGTATAAATGACTTATGAGTTACACATTTTGCTAAACATTCTAATACAGGACAAAAACCTTCAAGTTATAAAATCCCTAAACATCTAAGCCTATCTGTGTATGGAAACTTGTCATTTTCTTTCTCATTGTGGCTCAGACCAAACCTGTTCCTGGCAGTCACCATGAAGTCCAAAGATGTGGCCCAAGACTTGAGGTCACTGATGGTCAAAGAGGGCAAAAACCACCATTTTGATGGTGCCACTATCATTTACTGTCCTACCAAGAAAGCTACAGAAGAAGTTGCTAGGACCTTACAAGGTATCTATCTCTCTCTCTCCCTCTCTCTCTCTCTCTCTTCTTGCCTGCCTGCAAACATACCTATGGCTATCAATCTACATACCCACCTACCCTTCCCCAACACTAATATATGTATTTATTTATTTATTTATTTATTTATTCTTGTAACCATTAAAAGGCAGTCCTGCTTTCACAAAGCAAACAACAATGCAGAACTCCTTTATATATATTTAAACCATAATTTTAGGAATGGGATTGGACTGTGTGTATTACCACGCAGGATTGGATATCAAAGTGAGGAAGGAGCGACACAGGAAGTTTGTCACAGATCAAGTACAGGTAATTAAAATTAAGACCATAAACATTAAGAAAACTAAGATTTAAAGTAATTAATCTTTGTTTTGTTTTGAATGATAGAAAGATAAAAATGGCAGGTGACTCAGGTATATAATTTTTTGGTTCTGAATTACATGTGGTATTTGTAATTCTATGTAACATTTTATTTATTTATTTATTTGGTCAGGTTATTGTGGCAACTGTGGCTTTTGGGATGGGAATAGATAAGCCAGATGTGAGAAATATTATCCATTATGGTGGTAAGTATGCCATGTAGCCTTGCACTACACCTGCTGCGGTGGCAAGTGCACCATGTAAGCAACCATAGTAAAGCCAATATTAGAATTGATTGAACTTATTCAGTGAATAAAATGTGAGTTTCTGTAAGAATTGCACTCATTATAATTGGCTTTAATTTACCTTAGAAATGGATGCACATTCAGATCAGACACTGATTGGAATAAATTATAATTATTGTGTTGAAAAGACCCATAAATATAGAATGTTTGTAATTCAGTGAAAGTAAACAGGTCTTGTATTTCGTGTATTTCCCAATTATGATATCTTCTAGAATAGAATTCTTTCCCTTTGTATTCCAGCTCCCAAAGACATCGAGTCTTACTACCAGGAGATAGGCCGAGCAGGAAGAGATGGGGGACCCAGTTCCTGCCACGCTTTCTACAGTAGACAGGATTTTAATACAAACAGGTGAGCTTCAAACTCTGAAATGGCATGTGGCACATTTTGTGTGATTTAAAAGATGTCTGGAAAAGTTTGAAAAATTAATTGCACTTTTTTGTAGTGATTGTTATCTTTGGTTGTTGTCAACTTGTTTATGAATCCCATATCTAACAACATACTGTCTTCATGTACTTCCAATTCAAGCTAGGTACCAATGTAGAATTTTGGCCAAAATTCTTAATAGTATTTCTCCTCATATCATGATCACTTAAAGGGAGAAAAAGGAAACAACTCTAATCATAGTCTATGCAGATAGACAGTTTAAATGCAGTCTCTCTATTCAGCTGGACATTTCAACCATATAGCTGGAAGTTCTGTTACATTTGAACTGCACTTTTATAATCCCATCTGCTGTACTTAAAGATGTATTTCACCACAATTATATGTACCTTTGTGAAATAAAGTTTTTCAGTATTTCATCCACTGTTTTTTTTTTTTCTCATCAGGTTTTTGCTACGAGATCTGAAGAATGCTACTTTCAAGGAACACAAGCTAAGCATGTTGGGTAAAATGGAGCAGTATCTGGCTACCGCTGGGTGCCGCAGAAAGTAAGACTTACATTAACTCATTTAATGTATATATTTTATTAATGGTACACTCTCTGTACCCCCTGAAATCAGGGACCTCTGAACTATATTGCGTATATATAATTTAAGCACAGGCCCCTGTGGGAATACACCCAATCAGCTACCTTGCAGTAAACACTAGTGCACCTCATTATGTCTTAAAGTGCAATCTTACATGGTCGTGAGAACCTGAACTTTTTGTTTTATTTAATTTTATTTAATTTTATTTTATTTTTATTTATTTATTTATTTATTTATTTATTTATTTGTTATTTTTTTTTTTTTTTTTTTTTTTTTTTTTTTTTTTTTTTTTTTGCTCAAAAAAATTTGCTTTTGTACAAAAATCCTTGGTAAATACCTTAATTACTCTTTAATAAAGGTTCTGTTGGAAAATGTTAAATTTGTTTCAGACAGCATTATCTTTATCTTAGCAATATTGTATTTATTTACATTCTCATTTAGCATTTAATATTCATTTTAAAACAAACGCTGAAGCAACCACATCAAACTTCCATATGCAGGTTTATACACTGCATTATTCTGCTTGTCACTGATATTTTCTTAGTGCCTTGATCAGCCATTTTGAGCAGAAGGCATACAAGAGTTCAGTGGAGGGGACAGAGGACTGCTGTGATAACTGTAGAAGAAGGTAAGACTGGGTTCCCATCACTAGATCCATCTAACAGGATTGGTCCATTTCCATGGTTTTTTTTTTTGCTAAATTGCTTTCACCTGAAGTGGCTAAGATGTCTAGGATGCCTACTAAAGCTTCTAAACAATAGTTACTTACCCCCTGGCAGCTTCAGTAGGCGTGACAGATATCTAAGCTGCTTAAGGTAATTGCAATTAAGGGAGAATCCCCTTGAAAGATCCACAGTTTGTTGGATAGGGTCTGGGAATGGTCTCTAAGAGGGGCATCTGTTTGATATTAGGACGAGATTGTAAAAAGTGAGCCCCAGAGTGATAACTGTGGATTACCAGAATGATAACTGTAGAAAGTAAATACTGATAACTGCAGAAAGTGAAAATTATAACAGTAAAATAAGGTAAGAGTGAGAACTGTAAAAGATGAGGGGGGGGGGACTGTAGAAAATCACAGAGTGAAAACTAGCAAGTCAGAGTGATAAACTGTAGCAGAGGGCAATTGGTAGCTTTTAAGGTAGCTTTTAAGGTAAGAGTGATAATTGTAAAAGGTAAAAAGGATAATTGTAAAATAAGGAAAGGGTGATAACTGTAGAAAATTAGTCCAAGAGTGATAAACTGTAAGCAGCAAGAGTGATAATTGTAAAATTTAAGGTTAGAGTGATGACTGTAGAAGAAGACAATGGATTATGGTCATAGAAGTATTGACAAATTGTTTTAAAATGCTCCATTTTCCCATTATGCATTGCAGACTTAGGAACAAGGCACAAGGAATAATATCAGTGGTAAAAACAGATATGTCAAAAGAAGCCAAGGACTTGTTGACTGCAATACAGGTACCATTATATTTTTATATCGATGACTCTCCTTAATTATGTCACTGTGAATTTTGAATTTTAAATCATACATCAAAACCGTACTTTGAATATACTGTTCATGGTTGATAAAGTGGTCATTTTCACCAGCGTCTTCAGTTCCAAATCAAAAGATGTCTTTATTCAATTTAAATCAGATATTTATAACAAATTGCCAGTCAAAATAGCAATATTTCACATGCAGCTTTTTCACTTTCCACTGAGAAACTCTGGAAGATAACTCTCACACACACCTAATGAATGCCAACACATCTTTTACATTTGACTTCATTCAAGTATCTGGGAATTGAACACTTCCACAATCACTCAGTTTTGAACCCGAATAAACCTTATTGTATTTCTTTTCAGATAACAGGTGAGAAATGTGGGATTACAACTCCCATCCTCTTCCTCCGTGGCTCCAGCAGCAAGAAGCTTTCTAATTACTATACAAGCAGGCCAGAATTTGGGATGGGGAAGTAAGGAAAATATTTATTGGCATGTTATTTTGAGTGAAGATGCATATTTTCATAATGTACTCTTGGAGTTGAATCTGATTTGTTCTTTTTAAAATTCCTTTGAAGATTTTAAGTGAAATTGGAGTTTTTAACTGTTTTTTTTTTTATCTAAATAGTTGTTATTTTGATATCGAAGTTCTTTCATCAAAGGTTTGGGAATAATACTGGTTTCCAGCCAAAATTACATGTACTAATGAAGTCTAACTGTTAACCAACTGAAATTGGCAGATCAAGTACCAGTTTTTTTTTTTTTTTTTTTTTTTTTTTTTTTTTTTTTTTTTTTTTTTTTTTTTTTTTTTAATTCTTCATTTCTGCCATTTTGTTTTATTATTAAAATATTTATTAATCATCAAATAAATAAATTCTGACAACTTTTGAAAATGTATTTTAGATACAGAACAGAAAATTGGTGGAAAGCCTTTGGTAAGTTGAAGGAAGTTTTTTATTTTCATGATGAAAGAGGCAACTAGGTGCATTATATAGTTCTTCTTCTTGTAAATTAAATTTCCAATATGCAAATTTGAATAATTTGGTTGTATAATTGTGAAATATTTACAGTTTACTTACTAACTGGTAACGTAAATTATTAAATCTTGAGTGACCATTTGAGAGAAATCTTGAGGTACAATTTTGTACAAAGTAAACGATAGTTCTGTTTACAATAATCTGATACATGTAACTGTGTACTTGTTATTATGTTTCTAATTTCAAAATATAATATTGGTCTTGTCTTTAAATCAGCTCGCCAGTTAGTTACAGAGGGCTACCTGGTTGAGAAAGTGCTGCAGGCTACCAGTTTTACCTACACCGCCATGGAGTTGTCATGTAAAGCCAGGGATTGGCTCTCACATGCTGTTGTCAGTGGGTCAAATGGACCCAAACTGATGATTGAGCCAAACATGGAAGTGGTTACTTATGAAAAGGAGAAGGAAAAGGAATGCATTCCCAAGCCCAGGTATTATAGTTATATTGCTTATTGTACCACCAGCGTTAGCGCTGGCGGTACACATGGTTTTAGTCCCGTCCGGTCCGTTCCGCCGGCTCC